CATTACTATTCATTGTGCCAGTTGGGGGAGCTTCACACAGGTGGATGCTGCCCCACAATCATGGGAAGGGAGGAACTTAACTCCTGTCTATACTAACCTGTTACTTCTGATAGACTTACAAAGAAAAGAGAATTAAGATGACTGACTCTTACTCACTCATTTTGATGGTGATGAAAGTAACAAGGATCTTAAAGACATATTGTAATATGAGGAATAATTTCTTGTATTTACATATTCCATGTTTTTGATGTGGGATGCAGTTACAGTATGCCGAATATCAACTTCCTTTTCGAAGATGAGGATGCTGCATTCGAGAGAGAGAGAGTGCAGTATTTAAAGACTTTATCTCCAGATTTTGGATGATGGAGATTTGTGATTGGAACATAATATCAGATTTAATAAATTTCCAAGGAAGAGAACAAAGATGACTGTTTCTTCAATTTTCCTGAAGAAGATAAAGCTTTTCTAGAATATACTTCCAGATGAAGTCTCGTGTACCGTGGGAGACAATAATGGAAAATTGTGCGACCCATTTCAGAAAATTTTGTTGTTGTCTATCTCCGCAGTGGTTTAAGAGTGATCCTTGTTTAAAGTGCTTCTGTAACGGCCCCAGATTCTGTGGAGATGAAGAAAGTACAGTTTGAGAAATTGAAAGGCTCCTCACGATTATTCCCTTCCAATCGAATTTAATGTTAGTTTTTTCTTCATTTTACATGCTGTGGAGATTCAGCTGATTGATGGAGGCTGATCTCCGAGCAAAAATGCCTTAATGTAACTGAATGAAGTGAATAGTAACATAATTATTATATCATTTGTTTTTGATTTTATAGAGATGACATCTCTATATATTTTTCATTGTGTAAAATGTATTTCAGGGTGTAGAGTTTGGCTGGCAATTGTATAGTACTTGTCACAATGGTTGTATAGACTGCTCAGGTAGTAGAACTAGTATACTGCCATAAACAGAATTGAGCCTCGATTAGTTGCGCTAAAGGCTTGGAATTGCTCATCGTACCTACCATTGGTATGATTGCATTTTTGATACTTTGGCTATATAAGGATTTGGTAAGTTTTATGCATATACAAGGACCAAATTTACCTTCACAGCTACAATGTTATTTTTCAGCAAACCATGCAGTCATTGCTTATATGACTAACCACTAGCCAAACAAGAAGACAATATAGTTTCGTTTCTGTTGCACGACATGTGGACTTTGTCATGCTAGCCTTCTTTTTTGCTAATCAACTTGGAACTTTGACCTTTTTTTTAATTTTCCAACATAACAGGTTATTTGTTCTAAGTCACCTTATATCCAGCATTCAGACCACTAGGAAGACTCCCTAAATGCATTATTATCTTGATAATTTTTTTTTATCCTTCTGCTTCATGACACACTCCACATCTTTGATCTCTCCAAGTGGAGATTAGAACAACAGAACATGTACACTGAATACCTTCTGCTCGAACTGAAGAAAATGTCAACAGACTACTTGTACTAGGCTACTGCTCACGATGCTCCATGCATTGCATTATAGATGTCTCCAGAAGAGTTCCTTTTTTGTGTATAAAACATTGCTGGTCATGTTCATTCTCATCATAAATTAGGCAAGTTTCTTATCCTTCCTCTTTGTTTAGAGAAATGATTACCTGAAATGCTCACAAATAGTGAACACCTCGACTCAATTATGTTAGTCTTGGTAGATTTAATTTTGATATTTTTTCTTGTATAGGGACACAATGATGCACACGGTTAAATACATGCCTTTTCTAAGTAACGGAAGTATTTACGCGTGTGAAGAGAACGGATCCTTCTCATCCAGTAAAGTTCCGAGGTGAGTTATGATTTGAAGCAGTTTGGGCAGGACTGGACCTCAGCATCGATTCTTATATCTGGCTCTCGGAAGACGCCTGTGGGGAGGAGGGAATTGCCAAGAATTTTCAAGATTATTCTGAGACACATTTGATTTTTTTTTTTCTTCTTTTTCTTTTTTCTTTTTTTTTTTCCTTGACATTCTTTTAATCTCTTCGGTGTTTTGATTTTTTTTCTTCTTCCTTTTTTTTTTTTTTTCCTCTCAGATAGTTTATATCTAAGTTAAAAAAAAGAGCATATATATATGGCCTTGGAGGTGAAGCACATGAATATAGCACTTGATAAAACATACAAAGAACTTGTCCAGAAATTACTTTTAAATCTTTTAATGACTACTGAACAGCTGAAAGACCAGTTACGTCGTCTTGAATCTGATCAGATAACCTTTGACCATGTTATTCTGAAGCTAAAGAACTGCGTGTCATTACAGAATGTATTGATATTGGCCGTGATATCAGACCGTACAGCATAATGCTGAAATTAGCAATTTTCACTACTGTATGGGCAAAGCTTGATGTAAATAGATTAGATATTTTGTAATCAAAACTAGAGGTAAAGTGTGTTGGCATATATGTTTGTGCGTATGCTTAAGTGTCTGTGAATGTTTATAAGATAAGATGTTTATTAAGAGAATTAATGTGAGTGAAGATGATTATCTGTTATTGTGAAAGATGTGTGTAAGTGTATGTTATTGTGAAGTGAATGTTGATTTGCGAGAGTGAAAATGTGGAATATTAGTTTGTAAGTTGGATGAACTAGGGAAATATTAGGTTTATGAATTATGAGGTCACTGGATGAGTTAGTAAAGAAGAAATAGCAAGTAGGGGGAGGTAGGGTATAGGAGAAGAGATAAAAGGGATAGGAAAGGGAAGAGAAAAGAATTTGAATTAACAAACATAAAGAGAAATAAGGAGAAAGAAATAGGGTAAGGGCTATATCAAGGGAGAGAAAAGGAGACACACAGGAAGAAGGGCTGTAAGAGAAAGAGGGAATTAGAAAAGGATGAAGGAGGGAGTGATAGGTATGGGGAAAGAAAGTCTAGTTGATGAAATAAAAAGAAAAAAAAGGATGACAGACAAAAATAGTAACTGGGGAGAGGGTGATAGTGAACAGAGAGGTGTAAAATGCATGAGTGAGCAAGAGAGAGTGAAAGCGAGACAGAGGGAAAAGGTGACAGAGAAAATTATAGGTGTGTGTGTATGCATATATGTATAAGGTTTGAACTTGTGATTCAGATAACAGAAGTGTAATGTTTGGGACGGGTAGATGGTAGTGCAGGTTTTATAAGAAGGCTCCAACAAGCATAGGCATGGTTTCCTTCGTCTTAGTAGTCCGGTGGTCTCCTTAACTTTTTCTGCTGTCATAGTTAAGTAGTGTCGGTAACTCGATAGAAAAGTTTATTTTACTCCAGTGATTCCATGGCCGAAGGTTGTAAATAACGGTTGTCACTCGTCTTTGGTCTCCCCTTCCCAGACACCCCCCCCCCCCCCCTCTGAAAAGGAGTTCTTCGCTCCAGACGGCCCTCTTTTTCTACTCTTCCCGTTTCTACTTTCTTTAACTGGGCTTCGTATGCACACAGCTATTTATGACAGACCTCACTGATATTGCCATTTAAGATTCATTGTAGAGGGCAGGATTCAGTGCATGTTGTCGCAAAAGGAAGTTGTTTGGTGAGCATGAGAGAGTGCGTGCATCTGGGTGTGTATGTGTCAGTGTGTCAGTGTGACTGTGTGAGTGAGAGTGTGTGTGAATGAGAATGTGTGTGTGTGTGTGTGAGTGAGAGAGTGTGTGTGTGTGTGAGTGAGAGTGTGTGTGTGTGAGTGAGAGTGTGTGTGCGTGAGTGAGAGTGTGTGTGTATGATTGAGAGAGTGTGTGTGTGAGTGAGAGTGTGTGTGTGAGTGAGAGTGTGTGTGAGTGAGAGTGTGTGTGTGAGTGAGAGTGTGTGTGTGTGAGAGAGTGTGTGTGTGTGAGTGAGAGTGTGTGTGTGTGTGTGTTGTGTGTGAGTGAGTGAGTGAGTGAGTGAGTGAGTGAGTGAGTGAGTGAGTGAATGTATGAGAAAGAGAGTGCAAGTTAAGAGAGAGTGTACGAGTGGGTGAGAGAAAAAAAGTGTGAGAGAGAGAGAGAGAGAGAGAGAGAGAGAGAGAGAGAGAGAGAGAGAGAGAGAGAGAGAGAGAGAGAGAGAGAGAGAGAGAGAATGAATGAATGAATGCAAAAGTGTGATAGAATGAGAGTTCAGGAGTGTGAGAAAGTGAGAGAGTAAGAGAAAGAGAGTTTGAGAGAGAGAGAAATTGCAAGAAAGAAAGATACTCTGTTTCATATGTATCTTGGTTAGCACAGAAGTTGCCCCCCCCCTAACTGCTGACCATCCAGGAAGTTTCCTTCTACAGGTGTACCATACTGATAGTGGTCTCTAACTTGTTCTTGTAGTTCTTCGTGGGTGTGATTCAGAAAGGTCTCGAACAAGATGGACAGGAAATGGGCATTAACCACATTGGTTGAAAGAAAGATAATTTTTTTTTTCTCCTTTTTTTTTTTCTCTCTCCTTTTTCTCGACACTTTCAACAACAGTCAGTAAACACTTTATTGCCCAGTCTTGGCTTTTTTACCAGAGAAGCTATTTTGAACACACCCAGTCTCTGCTTTTAACTAACTTGCAGCAGCAGCATTGGTGAGTTGTGTTGACTACCACATTCCCATGGGGTCACGATGCTAATTTATGTAGTCCATCGCCCATGGAGTCATATTCTGGTGTAACGTAGCGACAAGACTACGATGCCACATCTCTTATCATGTTGTTTTCCTACTTTGCATGGATCCAATTTCACATGTGTATCATTGTATAGGTCCAGAGTATTTTATTACCCTACTCAGATGTACTGTATATTACACTAAAGGTGCAATGATTTGATATATGTTGTAGTTTTGTATATATATTCTATATATTAGTGATATTAATCAAAGAAATTGGCTGTCATCATGGCGTCTGATGCAAGACAGATTAAAAAAACTGTTAGTGAGAAATTTTGAAGAAAACGGAAATGTGATTTATTCTTTTAGTTGAAATAAAATTTTGTACACCGCTGTGTTGCCCAAAATTATGTATAATAATAAAGGCTGATGAATGTGGAA